TGTAAGCAATCCGCCTTACCGAAACGTGGTACCCTGCTGATATATTAGATCGTAATCCAATAACCCACCCTTTGACACCTTTTTCATAAAGATCGCTGTAAAAGAAAAGGTGGAAGATGCTAATTCATCACATATGTAGAGCTGAGCGGTTTGAACATTCACCGCTGGCAAATGTCCCTTATTCTCTCTGATCCTCCGTCTCAGGAGCCTCGGTGTACTTGCATCTATCCCCAACACACCAAATTCATCAATTATGAATGTTGTCCGCATCATCTCAGCTTTCAATTTTGCATCGGAATAGACGCACAAACAAAGAATAATAGTAGGTGCTTTTAACATGCCGAAGATACACTGGTCCTCCCAGACATTCTTGTCTATAAACAGAGCCTTCATTTATTCAGTCAGTGTTGTTGGGACACAGTGGGTTACTATACCAACTAGGGTGACAAACACGTTAGACTTGATGTTTACATTGGGTATGGCTAACGTACAGAGGCTTTTCGGAGAACATCCCTGGTAGCAAAGTCAACGTGCTACTCTTAAACTTCACCGTAACTGGCCACCAAACAAGTACCTACTTCCTACTACACCAGCCGCAGTATTAACTGGAAACCCATCCGTCAAATAATCCGATCCTGCGCTTGAGATGCCTTCTTTCTCTCCAACGATGCATGCACAGCCGTGAAGCACTTCTATCATTAGTTGCAGCAAGTCATAACCCTCGTTGCTTTACAAGAAAAACGAATCAGTGACGTTTAAAGAGAAGCAACCGAACGTTCGATGTGTAGGAAATTCAACAAACCGATCACGCTGTAAAAAAGACGGAGTAATTTGCAATGATGCCACAAATGCACCGACTCAGCTTCGAAATCCAAAACTTACCGTTGATGGGTAGAACACATGAAGATCAAGCAGCCCAACGAATGGCATATAAAGCAAAAGAGCTCGTCTGACTTATCCGTCGAAGTACCAACAAAAGCTGTTCATTGATTAATGTACTGGTGGACGACATCCAGGTGCATTTAACTGCTTCATCTCTCCCTACATGACCCTTGACACTAACTCTATATTTACAATAAGGCTCCATCTAAAGTGTTGTTGCTCTCAGTAATATCCGCCAAGCAATACATTCCATTAAACTGTGTTCAATTCTGGAAGCTGATGGCATCCCCTCATCCGTCATGAAACTGGGAGGGCCTTATATGTCACTGCTCATTTTGTATATGTCTGCTGTTTCATCGGGATCCAAGTAATCTGCATATCAATAAAACACTTCATTCATCAGCCCTCGCCACAAAGGCTGCGCAAAACAGGAGATGGACAATAACAGACCAAGACAAAACACTCTTATAGTTGTATTATTTGTGAACTTAGGAAAAATGTGTGAGGAAGTCCATCAACTCACTGGAGCTGATAGACAGGTCCTAAAATGCTTCTTTTGACTAACGATTTTACACATGCTGGTACCTGCATTACCTGAACTATATACCGGACTCCATTGACTCAAAATATGCCATATTATTTCCATGCTTGCACATGCAGACAATATTCGAGCATGTGTCTCAAAAACGGCTACCGAATCGGCAACATTTCTTTGACGTCCGCAACACATTAATAGGTTGGCTATCATCATACATGAACGGTCTCGCTAAAATAGTCACCTTAGGCGTCCATTGCCCTTCCCCACCTCCAAGTGCCAGCGGGATTAAACAAGGAAGTTCGCTCGGTACATTATATTCCCTTCTGTGTCAATGCTAGCAGTTCGGTTAACAAACCTGGCGTGCCGTATTTGTTTGTTGATGATATAATATTTAACCACAAGTACCGAGGAGTTGAGCTTCGGAATGTACTACCACACATTCAAGAATACATTCATTCGCTTGAGGCGTAGTGTGGCAGGTGGATGATGTCGTTTTGAGCACAACAGTCCAGTATCATATGTTGCGGTTGCTTGACACCTGAAGTATCCATCACACGTAACAGCGAACGCATCTGTGTACAATGGTCTACCCTTGACCTCGGATTCAGATATTCTTGTACCTTCAAATTCTCTGAAAAGTGAGTACCAGAGAGCACAAGCCAGACAATCTTTCGCTAACATCTCTCATAACATGTATACAATCACAGCTACAGCTGAACTATGTAAAATCCTTAGTCGTCCCATCCTGGAGCATCGCAGCATAATCGCAGGCAATATATGGAAATCAGACAGAACATTGCTAGGAAGCCTTCAACGGTCGTTTACTAAGCATGTATTGGGAAAACATTCTATCCTAAACTCCCGGGAGCGATACAAGCAAATCCAACTCCATCGGCTTTGGCTGCGAAGACTAAATGATTATTTGAGACTGCTGCACAATCTGATTCATGACAATACTCATTGCAGTCGATTCATTCTTAACATTGCAGCACAGTTATACGCGGGACCTAGGTAACAAAGAACTTACCCTGCTTATATCACGAGGCAAAACAAATTTGCGGTCTGACTTTCGTCTCACCATTTATGCTTCTCTGTGGAATCGGTTGCCATTCACCATTAGGTCATGTGAGACTGGCAATTCATTCCCAGTAAGTTGGGATGTTACCTCTATCTGGATACCATTATGTCGCTCTTTCCGTGGCGCAAGTCATTTGAACACCCATTCAATGAAAGTCCAAATAATGTCTAATGGGTGTAATATCACTAATTCCCGTAATGTAATTAGTTCTCAGTGTCTACAGCATATCAAACTGCAAACTGGTCTCCTACCATCGCATAAGGCCATCATATGGGGCAAAGACCTTGCAAGAAATGCAGACAAATACAAGATCACACGATACTGAACTTGTAAGACCATGACATCACCTGTGGATGTATGTTCTGTGTCAAATATAGCCACAGCTATTCACTTGAGGAGAAACATGCCCATTATTATTATGGTTGGGATTAGCAAGTTTATTATTATGAGTATGATTATTATATATGATTATTATTATCTTAATGCGGTATATTGTTTCGACTAGCGGCCATACTAACCCGGAGCCCAAATGTGCCACTCGTACTGTGTACCTTGGACCGAGCACAAATTGTGCGCTCGATACGTTTCGACTGCTAGGAGAGCGTTGGAAATTCGGCACAGGGATACCAGCTACCGGTCTGGTCAGAGTACGAACTAATGGTAACTTTTTCCGACAAAAGATCTGTTAAGGTGGGGCTGACGGAGAACATGCAAACACCTCATCCTAGGTGGACCAGCTACAGACAGAGTATTGTTGGTGACCACTAGCACTGACAATCTCATCCCAGCCTGCCTTCCGTTAACAGCAATGTGTCAACCTACTCGGGAGCATAGCTGTACCTTGTAGACGCATGCATCTAGCCCTGTGCATACATCCAGGGAGTCCCATTGCTTAATGTCCAGTGACCAATGAGAGTGTCCCTGATAGTGAGTGCGTGTAACCCCTCAGAGAGAGAATGAATTCATGTCCGCGTGATCTTGAATGCATAACAAGTTACTTTGAGTTTTGTAACACGCTAACTATGCACTATGCTTGAATTTACCTGTCCTCTTTCCTCTGACCGGGTCACGTGACCTCATCGACTTTGGACCGATTTAATTTTCGCGGATAACCTTGCATTTAGAATGCCCTTGCTATGTACTCTGTCTTTTCAAGAACTTTTTTGTAGACAGCTAATTAGAATGCGTGAAATTACTGAATACTTTATATTGTGTTAAAATGCTGTTTCTTCTTGTTCTGTTTAATTTAGTGAAAACAAATTCTTGCGTGAAATTGAGCGTGCTTGATTAGTCGGGTAATCTACAGCTTAAATAGCGTGATATTCTTCATTCACATGTCGGACTCGTCCAATTTGACGAAGTTAACAGATATCACCTACGCAGTTCTCCTTCATTGCTTGAGTAGACCGTGTGAAATCTGACGTCGAATAGTATGTGTAAATCCTGGTCTGCGTTCAATGAACAAGCTATTGCCTACGGTGTTTGGGTATATTATCTACGACACGCATGATCCGGTAAGTACTCCCTCGCTTAAAAATATAAAGCATCAGCTTGAACTTTGGATCACATGAGAATAACTAGAGTTTAACTGTTAGAAATGCAAAATTGCCAATTCTGTAATGTAACTACGAACAATTACTGCAACTCCCCAATCACACCTAGGTGAATGTGAACCATTTTCTTGAATTTTAGGAATACAAAATCCCTTGTGCTTATATTTGCCTAGCTAAACTTGGTTTTATCCCCTGTCCGTTTTTCAATTACTCGAATGTAGCTGTTTGACAAATGTACAGAAAGCCCTGCTGAACTCGACATTCGTCCATGAGATAACGCAACCGGTTGTATTATTCTTGCTACTTCTGAGCTCATCTTGTGGAAATTCTGCTTATTTTCAGTTGAAAGGAAAGTATGGCTTCGTTTTCGACGACCTTTGTGCAGCTGAAAGTTTTTTAAGCCTGTTCAACCTGGCGAAACGTTCGGCTTGACAAAGGGACACCAGGGACATCCAGATGCGCTGCTGGTCAATTTTCCAAGCCAGCAAGTCGATGCACCTTATAGTTTCTGATTTCAACTCGGTTCCTAACAGTATCAGCACCACTTCCACAGTTGCATCCAGCTCAACATGAGCACAGCTATTGCTTTACATTCACTGTGTGTTCATAAGTGTTACATTTTCAGTGAAGTTTCCATCATATCAGCGCGCCTGCGTTTAGTTATTGCAGGGCCAGTAATATGGATGCGAGCTAACAATGATTTGTACCATGCGCCTATATATGCGTCAAGGTCAGTCCTTGTAGACAAACTCGCTTTCATTTACACCTGAGGACTATCACCGGACCAGCATTTTGTGTGGCCATGACTTGGTTTCAAAAATCTTAAGGTACTATGACAATACATCAAATGCACTGTTTCACGATTTGTCACATATGTCTGTCAACGGTAGCCAGGCAACTATAAGCGCACCGAAGGCTCCTTGTGGCGCGCAGTCAAACAAACCAATTAATTTTGAGGTAAAGGGACCGAGCAAACGGTTTTGTTGACAGTGATAGTCAACGAAGAGGTTCAACGGAATCGCAGCATGAGCTGTCACACGCGATATTGATCGTGCACAAACTTTCTGGTTACAAACCAATGTCTAGGAGGAGTTTTACTTACAATCCAAGTGACCGAGATGCCCCGAAATCGAATCCAGTATTAGTTAAGAGTCAAAACCCACTAGCGACAGAGGATCAGATGCTTGCAAGTACTACCGAGGCACCCAGTTCATCAGGTGATAAAACCAGGCCGTCTGGCCCTGTACCTGTGCAGGGAACTCCTCCCACGGATTACCGCAGGCGCTACTCGCTACCAGCAACAGTCACTTTGTATCCTGGGGGAGCTGTAGAACACCCGACTTCGGTAGTTCGCAAAGCCACGAAAGCTCGCGGGTCATATCCATTCACTCCCATCTTGGACATTCCAGAATCGATACCCGAGGTTGTACCACCTCGTAGTGAAGCGGATTCGTCGTCCGGTAAAGTATGCGGTAGCGCCGGTGCAAACGAACTTCATCGACCATATGTTCCACTGCGTTCTTCAGACTTGGTTGTGCCTTGCAGCGATACCTTTGAGCAGGTGCTTAAACGTATGGAACTGGATCACACGCAGCATCGAGCATTAACAGATAAGGACTCTGTCGATTAAACTGTTGCACGTTTTTGGATTGTATAAAAACTTATTTCCGTTACATCAAATGCAAGATGCTCTTACTACCTGGTGAGTTAAGTATGAGTATTTACAGAGTCCAAAATTTGTTTTTTTGTGCTTCGCGTCGAACATGGTAAGTCGTCCAATTTTCTGCCAAACACAAATTAGCCAAATGAAACCAGTAAGGTAGCATTTCAAGAAGCCAATTTCAACCATAACTAATGAGACCAAGTATGTTGAAGAAGAAATTGCGATCTGCATCACAAGTAATTTGATCCTCACGAGTATCTCGGAATAGAAGCTGTTTTACAGTAATACTGCTAGTCGTAGAATAAGTACAAACCGAAAACGCAAAATTAAAGCGTTGCATTTTACTGTCACTAGAGTTTGTTGTGTGATGCTGTCTGCATCTTGGAACGCATTAGTTTACTACCGCCTGTTACCCAACTGGGATTCATGTGAACGGAAGTGTTTGAGTCATGAAAAATGTGGTATGGCAAGGCTGAACTTGAGCCGCGTATCTAGAAAAGCGTTCATGTACTGCTTCTATATTTAAGTCCAGAGTGATGGCGACACGTGGAAACTGAAAAAGGGCAACAAAATGAGGAGGGAATTTCGCAGAATGGCCAATGTTTACACTAAAGTACATGTAAAGAAGACAACTTCGGTTTTGTGCAAAAATGCAAATGGGTGGAACGTTTGGCACATTAGATCGTCTCCCGATGTAATTGGATTGCATCTCCTGATGTGAGGGGGGGGGTTAGGGCAGCGCCAGGAGGATTTGCGTGTGGTTAGCGTTGGAATGGTAATCATATAATTAGGGAAGGTGTTGCTTGACTGGTACTCGGAAAGGGACAGGACATTCCGGTGACATTCTAGGCAGCTCTATTGCTTGGCCAACTTTAGCTGGTCGTTCCTCAGGTTCTTGTTGAGATTAAATTGCAGAAGGTGGCGGTAACTTTATGTGGAGCTCTTAGGGAATTGGTAAAATCAACGTACAATCCTAAGTACACTAAACTATGTCGATATATACGGTGGAAAATTCGTAATAATGTTATTGGATTCGCGTCTTCGTTTAGTGTCGGAAGGGGCGAGCGCATGATTTCAGGGCTAACAAACTTGAATCGCACAATAAATATGAGGTCAGGCCTTTACGTTCAACAGCTGCAATATATGGGTGCATCAAAGCACCAGTTAAACCTCGGCTGAGGACGGAATTTTAGCTGTCCTGTTTTTAACAAATGTTCGGAATATTTCACTTCCTCGACAGCGTCCTGCGCCTATATCCACGAGCACGCTCTTGGAAGACGGACAGAAGGATTTAGTCTCCAAACATACATATATCTTAGTTTTAAATTGAGAAGCAGTACACAGGATTGAAGATTATTTTGAACTACGTCTCTTAACTTAGCTCGCGCACCGGTTTGTGCTTATATCAGCTTGCGATTCGGAGGACCGTTGAAACGGAAGCTTTGTAGGCTTGATACGAACTGGCTAACTTAAATATCAACTAAAATGTCGACTGAAATGTCAACTGTTTTTGACAAACAAATCAGCCTGTTTTCTGCCCACTGAAGTTGAACACCAATGGAGCTTCTTGCCGCATGTAATGCTGAAATTGGGCCACTCAGTCGGTGGATCAACATGCTACCCTTAAGGAGTTGGATCTTCGCTCCCTCCATGACGTTGTTTAACCACCGCCGAAAACTCCAAGTAAACCGAGACCAGGAAGCATTGCGCCGCTGTAGCAGCCGACAGGGCAAACGAAACCTTCGCGGTGATCGGGAAGTTTGGTGGTCCCAACGTACATTGGAGCTGATCCACCGCTCTAACTGGAAATACTCTCCGATTGTTCCAACTCATTCGGACCACTGGACACAGGAGGTCTGGTAGTAACAAAGTCATCTGTGAGATGGATGCGACACAAACCACTAACTTTCAGCAACTTATGGAGGGATGGGCTGGGCGTTTCTAATCTCAGTTCAGTGGCTCACTACCGTCTGTCATTGCACCCAGCACACCCGGTCGCATGCCGTGGACTATGTCAGTGGAATCACTCACTGAAGCGCGGTTTTCCTTTGAGATCAGACACCTGAAACACTTTAATCCTGAGGGCTTCGACGAAGTTCCCCCGACAGTTGTTAATCAGTTGACATCTCTATTACTTAAAATGTGGTAAGGAGAAAAATTACCCTGTTCTTGGGGTGTCAGTAATTTTCCCAGTGTTCAAAAAATCTTCCCGTACTTCATGTACCAATCCTACAGGGATCAGTCTGATATCGGTTGCCTCCAAGATAGTAGCATCTGTCAAGCTTCGCAGGTTAGCCCTAACGCGTGAAACAGATTACTGAGAGTTACAAGCTGCTTTTCGCCCCGTTCAGGGATGTGAGGGGCAAATATTCACACTTCGTCAGCTTCTCGAACATTATCATCTCAATTGCAAACCCCACATCGACACCTTTTTTGGACATTAGGGTTGCATTCAAACCACTTGACCAGTCTGTCCTATGGTGATACGTGCTAAGGAATGGAGTTTCAGAAACATACGTCGATATACTTCGGGCAGTATTTCTCCACTCTTCAGGCAGGCTGAGTTTCTACAGCAAACCTTAAGCACTCTTCTTTGTCAAACTGATGTTCGACACACACGCCCAAGGTCTCTGTTTCTCTTCAACGTTGCGATCGAAGACGTCCTGTAGGGAGCTCTATAAGAGCTGCATATCTTTGGCATTGAGCTTCTTCCTGGTGATTGCTTAACCGACTTAGTTTACACTGATATTATTGCGTTGATCTGTGCCGACATTCATTTCATGTAAGTGGTGCTTAACTGACTGATGTTGAAGTGTCTAGGCATGGTAATTTCTTTGCCCTTTCAAGTGCAAATGGCTGTTACATGGTTGGAAGTCACCGTTTATTCAGCTCAATTTTGAATGCATATGGCCGAACACATGGACAATTTTGTCTCGATAGGGTTGCTGCATTTCTGTTGAAGTCACTGTTTGAGAGGAGTTATATCTTACTGACGCGAAAGCCCGGTCTACTTGTGCCTATATTGAGGCATTTGTGGCATCGTCGCGACATTTCACTTCAGTTACAAGGCAAGGTCTACAATGTCAGTTTTCTCACAGCACTGTTATATGATGCAAATCCTGGCCGCTCCGTTTAGATGACCTGTGTAGGTTTTCGGCTTCTTGGGCAAGACGGTTCTCCCCTAGCTTCTTCTCCTATGCCACTTGAGATGGGTTGGACACGTCCTACGCATGCTCAATGAGCGTTTATCACTCGACGCATTATTTACTCTGGCACGGACACATTGGAAGAGGCCGCGTGAATGCCAGCCAACCACTTTTCGACAACGCATGTAAACAATTACATCTTGCCTAGTCATCGCCCGCTCAACAAGTCTACCCGGTTGGAAACCGAGGAATTAAGAATTCCAATGGCTCAGAATCTCAAAGACATGGTGCAACATCAGATGCAGTGGAAGCAATGTACACGTGATTATTTGAATTACGGATTTCAAAAGGATAAATTTAAACTCCGAAGAAAGCGCATATTGGTGTGCGATAAAATACCAACATACGAATGCCGTAGTTCTTTTTACAAATGGTATGCATTTCGCACTCCTTTGATTCCTAACTCCATGGTCTTGACTGGCTTTAGCTCTATTCCTATAGACTGAGGTTATATATATATATATATATATATAGTAAGTTACCGAACGTATACCCGAAATAGACGGAAGCGGTTAACGAAGAGACAGTGATGAACGCCAATAGAATAAACCTTTTAAATAATTAAATGTTTTATTCCAGGCAGTGAGGGGCACGTCTGCGAAGGCATGATCATGATCATACAAACAGGTATGTTTGGTAATTGTACAATAATGTAGCATGTTAGCTAGTAACATAGTGGATTTATGTGTCTGTATATGTGTAATTTCATGAGTTGGTGGGCATGCTGAGTGAATTTGTAAACTGTGCCTGAATTCGTGAGTTTGTTTTCTGTTTTCGCTATCATATGAGGTGCTCAAAGATACTCTTTGAACTGAATGTTTTTCCTTAAGTGGGGTTCTTCCGGAAAAGGAAGTGACAGTGACTTTAGTTCGCGACGAGTCACACCCACCACGTCGCAGTGTTGTTAAGCGGACATTTGTGACTTGTTATGGGGAGAAGGCTTGCCAGGCTAAAACCCACAACGTCCTGGTACACTGCCACCGAACTATTCGCTAGAACGCGATTAACTCAAACCACCTGGCTGGCACCACGTGGAGGTTGTTCGGCTAGGCAGCCAATGTCTTCGACCGCCTCTTCACAGGCTGCAATTTACGAAATCGCGGATTTTTTCCTTGGATGGTTTTAGCATGCCTTGTAGCAGCTGCAAATGCACAGTACGCTATGACTAACATTGGCTTCTCAGATCTATGTGTAGTTGGGTGTTTCACAAGGATAAACGTTGGGGCAGGAATCCTGACCTCTGTTCACTGATAATATTCCTGGTGTAACAACCTCGAATGGATTAACTTTTGCCAATTATTTTGAGATGGGGTAAACGTGTGAAGGATAAAGAAGCGCAAGGCACTATAACGAGACCTGAACGGCGCTTTTGAATGGTCCAGCAAGAGATCGCATACATATGGTTGGTTTAAATTTTGCACCAAATGGCATATATATACATATGTATATATCCCTGCGAAATACCCAACTCCACATCTATGTGATAAGACAAGGTTAGCCAAACCGGACTGTGAATTTGCAGCTCCTACATTGCATGTTAAAACCACCAAGGACAAAATCCGCGATTTCATAAGTTTGCAACTGGTGAAGAGGGATGCCTTAACTTAAACGGCTGAAAACAGGGAAATCGGTTCTTCAATTGGCGTTTATCACTTTCCTTTTGTTAGCCGCTTCTGTCCATCTCTGGTGTACAATTGGTAAATCGGTAGAGCCTGACTGGTGCCGAGGTGAGCCACACTACTTTGGAGCCATTCAATTAACCGTCACAAACTGCACATTTCTTATTTGATTGCTTCCTTAACACCGTGGCTTGCATCTGAAATGTAGC